CCCCTCATTAGGACATAATGAATTCCCCTTCAAAAGGTCATTTAGGAGTGAAGTGTAGTGAATCCCCTCTCATTAGGTCATTTAGGAGTGAAGTGTAATGAATCCCCCCTCATTAGGTCATTTAGGAGTGAAGTGTAATGAATACCCCCTTAATAGGTCATTTGGGTAAGAAGTGTAATTAATACCCCTCATTAGGTCATTTAAGTAAGAAGTGTAATGAATCCCCCCATTAGGTCATTTGAGAGGGAAGTTTTAACTATGCCTTAGTACGATTTGGAAGAAACCATAGAATCAATAAGTTCTATTACTGTAGATTTTAGTTATCTTGTCGGCTTATGACTTTACGCAAATTGCTGCTCAGAATGTTTTTAAGTACAACAGGGCGTAGAATAAGAGAAAGGCGTAATACGCCGATGACCTTGAGACGCCAAGATATTTGAAAATAACCGTATATTATTCATACAAAACAATTTGTCCACGAGTGTCAAATGTTTAATTATCGACTTTAAATAATATTTATAAAAACTATTCCATATCAAATGAAAGTGCTTTATCTACTATTAAATCATAACTTTAAAAAAAGTTACCTTTACAATTAGGTAAGGATACATACCTGCTATTAATAAACACGGAGTCCTCAAACATTGTATAGGAAGACATGATATTGGAGAAGGACACATTAGTGAATGTGCAGTTCTGGAAGGTGACGTGCGACACGACCATGTCCCTGAAGCTGCAGTCGCGGAACGCCGCGCCCACGAACTGCACGTTCTCTAACGTCTCGTTGTAGTGTTCGTTAACAAACGATTCGTTAGTTATCCAACGTTTAGCTGCCTCAAACTGCGCCTTCTCCGCAGACACGACTGTTGCTGGCACGTATGACGACAAGTAATACTGAAAATTTTATTTTTTATTAAAAAAAATATAAAAATATTTATTTTTAGTGTTGCAGGTAGATGACATATTTTTTTTACCTGTATAGCCATACTGAAGAGTAAAATCCCTCCTAAAGAGATTGTAGTGCTTCTGTAGGTGCTCGAGAAGAGTTGGAAAAATGCTTGCCAGAACTGAAAAAAAATTACCATTTGTAGTTCATGTAATATAATATTTTCGATAAGATTAAAACTAATGCGGAAAATTTCACTTACTTAGCTAACAAAAACACGACCATATCAACATTAAATCTTTACTTTGAATGTCTCTTTAACTATAAAACGGTACCAAAGATACAAATATAAAAGTCAATTTCCATAGTTATTTATAAGGAGAGTGCAACATTCCGAAACATATTTTAAATTGTTCATAATACAAAGCCAAATTTTGTAAAAAAACATTTGGTGCAGTAAAAAATATTTTTTAATTTCTAAAAGTGTATCACCGACAAAAGCGGCGATTGTACTTACCATTTTGACACTATGTCGCACGTGGTGCAGCGCGGGCGGGCGCCGCTTGCCGGGCAGCGCCAGCTCGCCCAGCCGGTACTCCGCGTCGCCCGCCGCCGCGCCCGCGCCCGCCCCCGCCTCCGCCGCTGCCTTGCCGCACACGCGGAACTGGTTGCTGCTGTGAATGCTCTGCGCAACATATTATACGGACAACGTTACTGATAGTACTTCCTCTTTTGTCTTTAGCATTTATGGGTAATAATTTCTTTTCTTTCTTTTTATTGTGGCATTATTACTGTAATCCAATCCAAAAGAATAGAATAAAATAGATTACAAGTTTATAAGTTAATTATATTATTAAATAGTGAAATAATTAACTTAAAAATAATCAATTAATTATCAATTAATTATTTAGTTTTAGCAGGTAAAACTTTCAATTTATTATTGATTTTGGTTAAAATGCAAGTTGAACCCGTAACCTATTAACCCTAATTAATAGGTCATAAGTATTTTTAGGAAAAAAATGTACCTGATAAACAATCATAGCATCAACTTCTCTGCCGACGTCGAGTAAGTAGCGAGGCGACTCCTGCGTCCAGATCAAACTCACTAAGGACGCCAGTATCGGCAACGTGCATAATAGAAGATATCTGGAAATAACATGATTATATTTATAAATATGTTTTTATTTAAACATAATCTTACAAATTGGGCTCACAAAAAAATCTAAATTTAAACATATTGTTAATGTTATTAATAATGCGCTTTCTTTCTATTTGAATTCATGAAACAATATATATTATATACCATTTTCCTGGCCAGTTTTTAGAACAACGTAGCTTTTTCGAGGCATACTCAATACAAAAATCTTTACATTAATAAACAAATAAGACTTAAATATACCAACAATAAAAAAAACTACAAACAATTGTTACCGAAAAAAAAAAAAAATTGGAGATAAGTGTGTACTCGTGTGTAAAGGCCCACTGATTAACCAATAGCAAGCGAGCGGGCACCCGCG